ACACATGCCTGTAGTCCCAGCTACTCAGAAGGCTGAGGTGGGAGAATTGCTTGAATCTGGGAGGTCAAAGCTGCAGACCAAGCCACAGTACTCCTGCCTGGGTGTCAGGGCAAGACCCTGTCTCAAAAAAAAAAAAAAAGTGATAGCAATTTTATCCAATTATGGCTAAAATCTTAATTTTGCAAATGAACATCTAAACATACTGTTAAAGCTCCTCCTACACACTTAGAAGGGGCCTGTGTAAATAAAGGGACTTGGAAGTTTAAGCCTCATTGCATTCACGGTAAATTTACCACTGTGTTTATGTTTTATTTTCTCTTCTTTAATGACTAGAACTACTTACCCTTATATAGAACACTACTTGTACATAGTAGGAACTCAATGCATATTTGTTAGATTGAATTAACCTGACATATTTAAACTTATTCAGAGAAGACAATTCTTATCTATTACTGTAACTGATAAGGCATTTTAACAATCTCTAACACTACCATTCACCCCCACTACCTACTCTGGAAACCTACATATATACTTCAGATATTCCTTTCCTTTAATGACCAGGATGAGAACACAAGAAATACAGAACGAGTGGACCAAAAAAAAAAGTGTTTTAAAACATTTTTCACTATTTCAAAATATTTATTCTCTCTTTAAAATCAAATAGGATATTATTTCAAGACCATCTCCCCCTCCAAATTCGCATGAACCTTGCTGAGAAGGTTGACTGATCATATCCTCTTTTCAAAACCCAAACAAAGCCTGAATGTTCCCTATACCAAGAAACCATTCTCAAGGGATCCCTTTATTAGTATGCACACAGGCATTCATTGTTCCTTTCAGGAAAATCTACCAACCTTAAGATTACTTTAAATCAATATATGGTCATAATTTTTAAATATTCTTTATACGCCTAAACTGAAGGTACATCAAACATTTTGAAACCAAAATTTAAAATAAATGATTGTTGTCAGATGAATATTTAAGTCCTGAAAGACTGAGACCACACATGAGTCTAACCTCTAATACTACTGCTTTTAATAATTCTTTGTGGCATCCCAAAAAAGCAAATGCTTTTAACCATGTGAAGATCTAGATTATAACCTAAATTGTATCAGTTACTACCTTCTAAAGACCCTGTGTACCAAAATGTGCTCTAATTGCCAGTTAGGTATACTTATGAGTATACTTATGAGTATACTTATGAGTATACATAAAAGTAAACAAGAATTAAAATCAATTACTACATTCAGCCCCCCAGAAAGTCAGTAAAGCCTATGGACTGCTATTTCTTCCCAAGGACTAAATGGAGTGATACTGCTGGTACTGGCAAGAACCAACACGACTTATTCAGCTCAACAACAGAGTTGACAATGGCCTGTAGAAGGATTCACTCACTTGAGGATTACAGCCAGGATCCATTTCTCCATCCTGAACACAATCCTGGGCACCACCATCATTTGCTAGACCAGTGGTTCTCAACTGGGATGATTTTGTACCCTGAGGAACATTTGGCAATGGATAGACTTTAAATGCCACAGTTGCAGGGGAGGGGCTTACTGGCATCCAGTGTTAGAGATTAGATCATGGACGCTGCACAGGACAGTCACCACAACAAAGAATTATTCAGCCAAAAATGCCAACCATGCCGAAGTTAAGAGACTCTACCCTGACATTTACCCCAATTCTTGGTAAAAACATAAAACAGCTGGAGACTAGAGACAGTATGGTGGTGAGAAAGGACCACAGGATTAGGGGAAGAAGGAAATTAAAACCTACTGAGTACCTGCTACACAGGATTAGGGGAGGAAGGAAACTAAAACCTACTGAGCACCTGCTATACAGCAAGTCTGGTCACTTGACATCTATTATCCTCACTTATACCCCTACCGTGTGAAAACAACAATATATTCTGCTTTTACACAGAAGGCTACACTCAGAGGGATTGGGGAACTTACTCAGTGTCGCTCATCTAGGAAGGGGAGGAATCACAATACAAATTCAACCAAATATTTCATTCCACAATACTACAAAGCCTAGAGGCTAAAAGACCAAGATTTGACTCAAAGAATTACTAATCATTTAACTCCCCTGAACCTCCATTGAGAAAATAAATCAGGATGGGCACCTCACGCCTGTAATCCCAGCACTTTGGGAGGCCTAGGCAGGCAGTTCACCTGAGGTAGGTGTTCAAGACCAGCCTGACCAACATAAAGAAACCCCCATCTCTACCAAAAAATATAAAATTAGCTGGGCAGAGTGGTGCATGCCTATAATCCCAGCTACTGGGAGGTTGAGGCAGGAGAATAGCTTGAACCTGGGAGGCGGAAGTTGCAGTGAGCCAAGATGGTGCCGTTGCAGTCCAGCCTGGGCAAAAAGAGCGAAACTCCATCTCAAAATAAATAAATAAACCAATAAATAATATGTGAAAACATAAATGCTGCCTATTGCTAACTACATATAATCATAATAAATACAAGAAAATGTTTTTTAAAAATGTATTTTTACTTATTTTCCCCAACTCTTCCCTACAATGGAAGTCTTATGAATACAAATACTCCTTAAAAACAGAAAAGAGAGGCTGTAGTGGCTCACATCTGTAATCTCAGCACTTTGCGAGGCCGAGGCAGGTGGATCAGAAGATCAAGAGATTGAGACCATCCTGGCCAACAAAGAAAGAAAGAGAGAAAACAAAAAAGGAATACATTTTTAAGTGTGCACAACACCAAATTATTCATCAAAAGAAAGAGAGAGAAGAAAAAAGGAATAGAATGTTTAAGTGTGCACAACACCAAATTATTCAAGTAAGAATCAAGATAAAATGTTCAGAAGACTTTGTGTCTTCCTGAGCCATGCAACTATTCTTAAATCTGATGAGGAAATAAAGTAATATTTTAGTATGAACTTCCTAAATAATTGTAGTTATTAGAAAATGCTCAAGTCTATATCAACAACTTTGATTAGGCCTTCTCCATAACTGGTAGCACAGGTCATGAGCAGAACTGAGAAACAGAATTAAAAATCTAGTAGGAATTGTGGAGAACAACTCTACTCACTATTCTCTCCATAAAGACAGTTTATTACACTGAGGTCAACATGCTATCACTCACACTAGTGATGTAAAAAATAATCCATTTCAACATAAGGTTCAGACCAAAAAAAAAAAAAAAAAAAAAAAAAAAAAACCCCCCAAAAAAAAACAATCAAACTAAAAAAAAAAAAAAAAAAAAAAAAAAAAAAACCCACCCACCAGAATCTATCCATCTTTGACAACAAAAGTATACTACTTTGAGATTAAGTGACAGCCAATGTAAACTGGGGGGTTGTTCTCTCCAGAAATCATCACTCCAATGCTGCTTCTAAAAGCAGGTTGCACACAACCATTTTTTCTCTGGAAATAGCTAAATACCAAGGCATGACATTTCTTTTTTGTTGTTGTTTTTTGAGACGGGGTCTCCCTCTGTTGCCCAGGCTGGAGTGCAGTGGCATGATCTCAGCTCAGTGCAGCCTCTGCCTCCCAAGGTCAAGTAATTCTCCCATCTCAGCCTCCAGAGTAGCTGGGATTACAAGGGCACACCACCATGCCCAGCTAATTTTTGTATTTTTAATAGAGACGGGGGTTTCACCACGTTGGCCAAACTGGTCTCAAACTCCTGACCTTAGGTGATCCACCCGCCTCAGCGTCCCAAAGTGCTGGGACATGAGTCACTGTGCCCGGCCAACAAGGCTGTATTTTATAAATGTATGTTTTTATACCAATTAATACACTATAAATTATAATTGTAAGTATTTCCCACTTTGATTAAATCCAAGTTTAAAAGCAATAAGCTCAACAAAAAAACTAGTTGAAATGGTTTCAAAAGAATCACGAAAGATGGCTTTAAATAAACAAATTGTTTACCTGACACTAAAAAATAAAAGATAAAAACATATTCTGGCAGAACTGAAAGACTATAATCTTGAATATTGTTCAAATCAAGTTAGACGAGGGTTTTCATTAGATGTCATTTTACTAATCCGATACTACATTTTTCATCTTAAGCATTTTGACACTTTCATCAACTTTCTAAAAGTGAGGGTGGATTGTTTTTCTATGTTTTTAATAGACTTGCCTCTCAAAAGAATGAATTAGATAAAAACTGATGGGAGAAACCTTTTCTCAACCTCCGCCTCCTCTTCATCAATGAGCATCTGAGTAAACCTTCGCTATAAATTACTGTTTAGTTCATAATCCTGAAAAATTTACATTGGACAATGACATAACTAAAGCCCATTTTCTCTATATATCCAGACATCCTGTCAACTTTTCACTTGACAAGCCTGTTTTTCATCACAACGAATTTTCACATACAGGAATGTAATCGGTATTTTCTAATGTCCAGGAGCCAAAAATAATTATTCAGTCTATTTTTTCATTTATCTCCAAATACAGAATTCTCCTCAAGGTTCAGAAACATCTTTACATTTCTGAACCGAGGAAAGGTTGTCTAATGTGAAATACTGCTAGCTTCGCAGGAGGAGTGCGGTGTTTCCGACAGCGGCTCTGAGGATCCTCGTGGAGCCCCTGCGTGCAGCCTGTGGTGCCCTCCCCACCCCGCGAACCCGGCCGTGCGTCAGCAGCCACGGCGTGAGGCGCACAGGCAGCTGGCTCGAAGCAGGGCCCGGCCCTCCGCTCCCAAACGCGCCTCCAGCAGCTGTCGTGCGGGCTGCACAATGACGAGGGCCCCCCGACCCGCAGGCCCAGGCCCACCAGGCCCGCCCAGACGCTCTTCGCACAGCCTATTTGCGCCGCCGCCCGCCCCGAGGCTTTGATCTCGGAACAGCCCCAGCCGGGCCACGGCCTGACGCCGCCCTCCTCTAGGGGCGCGGCCAGAACCTCCCGGGGGGTCTCCCATGGCAAACTGGGGGTGGCAGGGGCGGAAGGGACAGGGACTGTGAGGGTAAAGCGGCTTGACCGGGGGTGTCCCTAGAGACTGCGAGGGAAAGGGGCCCGGCGGCCTCACCCGCAACGGGAGGCGGCTCTCCCGCGTCGTCGGCCGCGGGCGCCAGGGTGACTGCGCCGTCCCTCCAGACGCGGATCTGCGCAGCCGAGCGCACGCGGCAGCCGGGCTGGCGGCGGCGGGCGGCGGCGCGCAGGGAGCCGCAGCACTGGTAGCACACGGCCCACGCCTGCTCCTCGTTGATGGGCTGGTTGTAGAGCCGCAGGATCTCCTCCAGGCTCAGTGCGTCCTGCGAGCCCCCGGCATCGCCGCCGGCTGCCCGGGGCTCCTGCGGCCCCTCGCCGCCCACCGCCTCAGCCCGCGGCTCCCCGCTGCCAGCCGGGCCGGCGGCCTGAGCCATCGCGCGGGTGGGCGCTGCGCTCGGCAGTAGCGCCGTGTGCCGGCGTCTTCTCAGCTCCGGAGCATCGTCTCCGCGCGCCACCGCCTCCTCATCCCCCGAACCGCCGCCGCCCAACGCGGCCGCGCGCGCGGCCGCCGGGACCAGGCGAGGGCGCGGGAGGCGTGGGCGAGCAGAGGGCGGCGAGGACACGGCTGCAGACCCGGGCAGACCGCAGCCGGCCGGTAGCGACGCGATGGCGTCCAGCGTCCCGCCCCGCCCCGCCCCGCCTTTCCTCGCACCGCCCAGCGCCCGCCCCTCAGGGGGCCGCACTGGCCGGGGGTTGCGCGCTCGGGAGGAGACGCACTGGCAAGAGTGTCTCGAGGCCGGTGGCTGCACCATCTGGAGCGGACCGCAACCCGCAGGGCTCGCAGAGTCGCAGGTGGTGATGCGCGGTCGCAAGGGACGCACAGCTGGGGGCGCAGGGGTGAGGGCGGCGACGCACGGTCCAGTGGGGACAAGCGGCCGGGAAGGGCGTGCAGGGTGGTGGGGCGTGGGGGACACGCGGGGCCAGGGGCGGGAGGGCGATCGGGAGCGCGGTCGGGAGCGAAGGGGCAGTAGGGGGGTCGCGTTTATCAGGGACGCCCCCGGCCGACTCTGACGGGGTCCTGAGCGCGCCCAACCCGGGTCATTGCCCTGCACAGCCGGAGAAGTCACCGCATTGAAGTTCCCTAGGCGCTGGATGGCCGAAGGTCTGGTTGAGAGCTTGAACCCGCCTGGAGCGGATGCCTAAGAAAACGCAGGCCCACTGAAGCCTCCCTGCTGGGCCCTAAGCCCTGAAAGCCTCCCGCAGTTTACCCTGACCCCGCACCGGCTCTGTGCGTTTTCGGATTTCTTGTTGGTTGAATACCTCCCTCTCCACTTCCAACTTCAGGGTAAGCCCCGTGAAGAGTGGGATCTTTACGAGTTTTGCTCACTGACTTCTCCCAAAAGCTAAATCGAGGCCTGGAATATAAGCATCTAGTACATAATTTGCAGGTGCTGCAGTACCACACTCATCACAGCATGTGGAATGAATATCACAGTGGTAAAATTGAACTGAGCGCAATTAGCCAAAGAAAGAAAAAATTCTGGGAGCGGTGGCTCACGCCTGTAATCTCAGCACTTTGAGAGGCTGAGGTGGGCGGATCAGGAGCTCGAGACCATCCTGGCTAAACCCATCTCTACTAAAAATACAAAAAAAAAAAATAGCCAGGCTTGGTGGCAGGCGCTTGTAATCCTAGCTACTTGGGAGGCTGAGGCAGGAGAATCGCTTGAATCCAGGAGGTAGAGGTTGTGGTGAGCCGAGATTGTGCCACTGCACTCCAGCCTGGGTGGCAGAGCGAGACTGTCTCAAAAAATAATAATAAAAAAGTAAAAATAAAAGAAATAATTCTGCCCCTCAACCCATTAAGTATGCAATAAAACAGTTCTTAACCACTCATTGGTAGATGAATTTAATCGATAAAATTCCACTGAGGCTGGTTCTGTGTGAAAGCCCTTCAGAGTGCTGAAAGTATCAACCAAGTAGGCGATGTATATTAAGTTCCAGTAAACCTTTTACGGCTTTTTTCTGTAAAGTGTTAGAAATCACGCTCTCAACAATTGCATCTTGCAGTAGAAACTACAACAGTCTATTAAAATTATGTTTATTAAAATAACATACCATCTTATATACAGCTGAAATGGAGAGAAGGATGAAAAGCAACAGGACAAAAAGGAAGATAAAGAAATTGGAAGAGGGCCGGACACGGCGGCTCACACCTGTAAGCCCAGCACTTTGGGAGGCCGAGGCGGGCGGATCATGAGGTCAGGAGATCGAGACCATTCTGGCCAACATGGTGAAACCCTGTCTCTACTAAATATATATATATATATAGACACACAAAAAATTAGCCAGGCTTGGTGGTGCGCACCTGTAGTCCCAGATACTCGGGAGGCTGAAGCACGGGAATCGCTCGAACCGGGAGGCAGAGGTTGCGGTGAGCCGAGGTCGCGCCACTGCACTCCAGCCTGGCGACAGAGCAAGACTCCATCTCAAAAAAAAAAGAAAAGAAATTGAAAGAGGGTGGTGCGCCGTGGCTCACGCCTGTAATCCCAGCACTTTGGAAGGCTGAGGCGGGCAGATCACTTGAGGTCAGAAGTTCGAGACAGCCTGGCCAACATGGCAAAACCCTGTATCTACTAAATATACAAAGAAAATTAGCCGAGTGTGGTGACGAACACTTGTAATCCCAGATACTTGGGAGGCTGAGGCAGGAGAATCGCTTGAACCCGGGAGATAGAGGTTGCAGTGAGCCAAGATGGCACCACTGCGCTCCAGCCTGGCGGACAGAGCGAGAGTCTGTCTCAAAAAAAAAAAGAAAGAAATTGAAAGAGGAGAAGAAAGCCCCCCAGGCAATTTATTATAATTTCCTACAAAAAATACAAAACAACCGTTTAAAGTAGCATCACTTTATTATTGGTTCATAATCTCATTTGTAAAAATGCAGTATCTATGTGTGCCAAAGCCTAGAGAGGCAAACGTATAATTCCTTATGTGTGACATTATATATGTATAAATATAGCTCTGTCCTCTTGATTAAAAACAAACATTCTCAAATTTTGCTATTTCAAAAGTTTATCCTGTGTGGATTTTGAAAATACAGACTGGCTTAAAATATTTTGAACAAGCCAGGAAAAATAAAAATGAAGGTCTTTTATGGACAACACTACCACCTACTGGCTTTATGGGATACTGCTGTCCATTGCACGTGGACAACTACAGCCAAAAACGTTTTTATCTTTGCCTTACCCACCAGTAAACAAGATAAATGGGTTAATAAACTGAAGAATCTATGAGCCATTCACCTGCTAACCCCAGCATAGGGCAGTAAATAAATCTTGAAGACAACACAGGGAAAGAGCAAGTGAGTGAAGCAAAGAAAAGGAAATCCAAACTTTATATTTTAAAAGATTATTGTTTTAATCATCCCTCTAATCAATGGAAAAAGATTCATTCTTTGTTTGTTTGTTTGTTGTTTGTTTGTTTGAGACGGAGTCTCACTGTGTCACCCAGGCTAGGATGCAGTGTTTCGATCTTGGCTCACTGCAACCTCTGCCTCCCGGGTTCAAACAGTTCTTGTGCCTCAGCCTCCCAAGTAGCTGGGATTACAGGCACACAGCATCATGCCTGGCTAATTTTTGTATTTTTAGTAAAGACTGGGTTTCACCATGTTGGCCAGGCTGGTCTCAAACTCCTGACCTCAAGTGATGCACTCACCTCAGTCCCCCAAAGTGCTGGGATTACAGGTGTGAGCCACCACACTCAGCCAAAAGATGCATTCTTAAAAACAAATTTGCAACACTAGGATTCTCCTTGAGTGATGATTTTTTTTAATATGTACACATTTTAAGAGGGGAACATTACTGCACTGAATCACAGGAAGGTTATATCAACAGAAGGGCCTTTTTTTGTGTGTGTGCCAAGTACCAATTCATGGCTATGATATACTTAAAGTAAATATTTTGCCCTTGTGAGCATATATGTAATTAAGTTGAGGCAAGATGATAAGTAGAATATTGTGTCTTATTCCTTCTCTACACAAAATAAACGAAAATCTTTAAAATCCTAACTGTCTTCTATGTATAACTATACAGCAGGAACTACTTGACACTTTTTGGTATAAAGACTATAACTAACTTCTAAATGATTTTCAGTACTCCGTAAAATTTTGATAGGCCGGCCAGGCACAGTGGCTCATGCCTGTAATCTCAGCACTTTGGGAAGCTGAGGTGGTTAGACTACCTGAGGTCAGGAGTTTAAGGCCAGCCTGGCCAACATGGCGAACATCTCTACTGAAAATACAAAAGTAGCTGAATGTGGTGGCAGGTGCCTATAATCCCAGCTACCCAGGAGGCCGAGGCAGGAGAATCACTTGAACCTGAGAAGCAGAGATTGCAAGATTGCACCACTGCACTTCATCCTGGGCGACAGAGCAAGACTTCGCCTCAAAGGAAAAAAAAAACAAAAATCCAAAGATTCAAATGCCTTTATGTTCAGGATATTTTGTTCCTAATTTTAGTCATTGATTGTATTTTTACTCTGTGACTTCACATTTAAAATGTCTGAATGACTCAAATCAACATTTAAATGTCTCTTTTAGAGGGCTGTGAAGTCGAACCTGTTATCTGAATATGATTTCTTTTGTTGATTTTATTTATTAAAAATGGAAACCTTGACTTTTTAAATATTTACTTATTATTCTTGTAGAATAAATGTACTTCATGCTTCATACTCTGGAGGTACTGGCTACGCTGCTCCGAGTCTTTCAGGGAGCACCATCATCATGCAGCCCAAGCTTTTCCCAGATACTTCTGGACAACTGCTCCTAAGAGGCACATTCACCTAGAAAAGTGCACCAGAAAGGAAAAATAAAAGCATATTTTTCAATGTTGTAATGTAAATTTTCATTGCCCACAACTGTAATACATTATACTTCTGTAGTGACATTTTATACTTTTCAAAATGTGCTTTTCAAGGCCAGGCATGGTGGCTCACACCTGTAATCCCAGCACTTTGGGCAGCTGAGGTGGGCAGATCACCTGAGGTCGGGAGTTCAAGACCAGCCTGATAAACATGGAGAAACACTCGTCTCTACTAAAAATACAAAATATTAGCTGGACATGTGGCACATGCCTGTAATCCCAGCTACTGGGCAGGCTGTGGCAGGAGAATTACTTGAACCTGGGAGGCAGAGGTTGTGGTGAGCTGAGACTGAGCCATTGCACTCTACCCTGGGCAACAAGAGGAAAACTGCATCTCAAAAAAAAAAAAAAGTGCTCTTTAGTTGTACTACTTGAAGGGTCAGATATTATTTTCCTTATCTTACAGAGGAGAAAATACAGTCATAGGACAAAATCCAGAAGCAGTAAATGAAACAGGTGGGACTGAAATCCAGGCCTCCTGACCAGCTCAGCTCTTCCTCCTACATTACAGCATCCCTGTACACTCACCCAGAGCAAGAATAAAGTCCTGAGGCCAGCC